CCTTGTCCGATCCGCACAATAAACGTCGCCAAGTGCAGGGGACGCATAACCCCAACAAATATAAAAGCCTCCAAACTGTCCAAAAGCATCATAGCGTCATCCTTGCCATCACGCCTGTGGACTTCTGCAGCCATTCTGAGATGTAGGTGTCTTCTAGTGGAAAACATGGTGAGTAAAAACAATTTAATTTGAAGTAGAATGTTGAGCATGACCAGACCCTATCTTGGTACGGTTTACTACATCATGAAATACATGTGCCCCAGTGCTGGCTAGGACCATGCTACTAGTTAGAGTGTGGTTAAAGTGTGGCTGTTATCAACCCCCCCCCTATTTTGCCGATAGGCTAATGTAGATCTTATCCCGCTGTTAGAGTGAATGTGCCAGTGGAGTAGGTATACGTATGCAGTCCGAAAAGCTCAATCACATAATCCAGTTGTACAGGTCCTTCAACACATTTTTCCAGCCACAAGTGAAGACTTTTCTGTTGTCCGTATGTGGTGGTTCTAGGCCTAATTGTGTTTAAATTTTTTGTTTAGGGTGGGGGTTTTGGGTGGATGTGGCTCTTTGGAGCCCGGATACCTGTCCCCCACCACCACCACCAGTCCATACCAGATTAAAAGAAGACAAGCGGTTTAATGAAAATAATGTTCAATTTGTTTTCTTGCCAGCTGGCCTGTTCACTGTAGGTGGAGACGTTTGGACAGTATGGCTGATTCGTCCACCGGTTCCAGCAGTAGGCCTACTACATCTGTTGCTCCAAGTGATGACACGTCTGACGTCCAGGAGAACTGTGGTGTGACTGTAATGCAAACCAGTAATGAGGTTGGCTGCAGGAAATGGGACAAAAAAAAAACACTTCTGCTTTTACTGCGATGTACCCCAGGCCAAGCTCCCCCGTCATCTCCAGTCATGTCACAAGGAAGAAAGAGAAGTCATCCAGATCAACGGTGAGCCCAACGCTAGTGTGCGTTAGAAACTTCTGTTGAAAATTCGCAATATAGGTAATCACAGGCACAATTGTCAGGTTCTTCGTGAAGGTCATGGTGTGCTCGTTGTCGGGTACAGGCCAAATTGCAAGGTATCTCCCCATGCATATGGACCATGCGTATATTGTTACGGCAATTATGTGCGTACCGATTTGTGGCGACACGTGTGCCCTTTGAAGCCAGCACCCACTTCACAGACTGTCAGCACCAGTAAGAGGGCTCGTGTGGGTGGACGGGTCGCTCACAAGAGTGATTTGTTGAAACCTCCTCCTGTTGGCGTGTCGTTCCAGGTGCACCAGGTTCTTAGTCCAATGAAGAGAGATGATGTGGCTTATAGTCAAGAATGACACGTTGATTGTTGAATTAGCCAAGCGTGAATACATGAAACTAGGGCACAATGTAGATCAGCATGGCTACATCCGTAACAGGGTACGTGAATTGGGTCGATCATACAACTCCGAAAGAACACCCAGCAACCAAATGCATCACTCGAATCATTTGTCCATCCGCACCACCTTTCTGATATTGTGAAGGCCGTCGACAATATTGCCGGCTTCAGGGAGGACAAACAGTTGTACGATGTGAAGTGTGCACTCGTCTTGAAAGGAAGTGCCCTAGAGTCCGGCCAAAAACACAAAGCGGAGCGTGCAGAAGAGTTTTTGCAGTTGTGTGAATAAAACTGGCGAGACCTTGTGTCCACACACGCACACAGAACGCACCATTCTCCCGACAAATGCCGATGTAGTCCACCTGTTGTTGTTCCTTCATGAAGCTGGCAACCGGGAACTTCAACTCCTGCAGGGTGCTCGGGGCAGACAAATCAGGCCAGTTTGGCAGAAATT